ATTGGCAGGATCTGCGCTTCCATCGAGGCTGCAGGCTGCTCTGAGGATGGCTGCGGGTTATTAAGCTGGTATGAAGTTGATAGCAAGGTTTAATATCAAGGGGAACAACAAACAAACTTCGTGTTAGGGTGTGAGCAGGAAGTATTTTCCCAGTGTCCCTGCAACCCCACGTATGGATTTTGGACACAGCAGCTCCCAGGGCACAGAGAAATCACGTGCAAACACTACCAGGATTTCTGCTTACGTAAGAAATACCAGGTCAGGGCTTTGACAGACCTACAACCCAAAAGGCTTGTATTAAACTATACCCACATGCTCCTCCCTCCTCTGCTTCGCACAGTTAGCACAGCGCTTGAACATCAGTGAGAGACTTGCTGTGATTTAATGGTAAGAACCATGTGCCTAAGAACAGCAACTGTTTCTGGTTGTGTCTCACATGGCAAATGAGCAGATGCTGACTACTGCACGAGCTGGCTTGGTGACAGTCCCAAGCTTTATAAGAAATGTAGTTTGCCACAGGTAACCATGCTCAAGACGAGGAAGATTTCAGGCACTCCTTAGGGATACTTCCAGCAGTCACCTGACAGGTTTTCCTGCGTAACCCGGTGTTACAGACTTCTGCCTGCCGGTAAAAACACAGCAAGCACCAGAGAGCTGCTGTCACTAACCCTGCTGAAATGGTGGGAGGTCACCTCCTTCCCAAAACAGCTTCCAAAGCAACCACCCTGACTGACAGAACCTGTGCTAAACCCACTGATGTAAAACACAACAGGGTTGAAACGCTCCTCCCAGGAGGCTGCTCTACAAACAAGATCTGCATAGAATTAACCAGGCTGGAAAAGCCCTTTAAGCTCATCCAGTCCAAACGTTCCCAGCCCTGCCAAGGCCACCACTGCCCCATGGCACTGAGGCCTCGTCTCCACGCTGTGTGAACACTTGCAGGGACGGTGACTGCAGCCCTGCCCTGGGCAGCCTGTTCCAATGCCTGAGCACCCTCTGGGGCAGGAATTGTTCCTCAGCTCCATCTAAACCTGCCCTGGTGCAGCTTGAGGCCGTTTCCTCTTGTCCCATCCCTTGTTCCTTGGGAGCAGAGCCCAGCCCCTCCTGGCTCCATCCTCCTCTCAGGCACTTGGAGGGAGCCATCAGGTCCCCCCTGAGCCTTCTCTTCTCCCCACTGAACCCCACAGGTCCCTCAGCCCTTCCCCATCACACTTGTGCTCCAGGCCCTGCACCAGCTCCACTGCCCTTCTCTGGCCCCGCTCCAGCTCCTCAATGTCTCTTTTGCAGTGAGGGACTCAGAGCTGCCATCCTGCTGTCAAATCCATGTGCACACAAAGCAATGTAGTTTTCATCAAACAGCAGAAACAGCAGGCCCAGCAAGGGAAAACTCTAAGCTGTGGGATGAAAACCCTGCAGGGACTCGTCTCTAGTAGGGTTTTTCAGTACACCACCACATATTAATTTATGCCTTAGTAAATACACACCTTTTTGGCAGCTAAGATAAAGCCTGTAATTTCCTGCAGCAGTCATTCGCCTCTGCTGGGCTTCAAAAGGACTTGCTCTAGTGCAATAAACACTGAATATGTACCGTGCACAACTTAATATGGCTTAACAGGATAGCAGAGCCATTAACTTAAACAATAGCTTGACTGTATCTGAGCACAGAGAGGTCACAGCTCGGGCTGTAACTCTGCCATGGTAAATGAAAACCAGTTAGGTATTAGTCACGGTGAACTATGTCCAGCCTTACAGCAGTTCTAGTAAAGGATCCTAATAAAAGCACCATCAGTCAAGGTCTGATAATGATTTAAGGCTATTTTACCTTCCCATCTCATTCATTAAAACAAAAGGATCTTCAGTTTGGTAGCTGCCTTTATTAAGCTGATGTGGTGAGCATTTGTAATTTCAGTGTATCCCTCATCTTTGTACCTTTTACTTACCAAGTAATCCCTTCACCCGCAGCTCTCAGCTCACTTCTGCTCTTGGGAACACCGGCTATGAACTGCAGTGCTCCAGATGGACTAAAAGTGCTTCACCTGTGACTTTATTAGAGCCAAAAAAACCTGGGAAATGGTTATTATGGTCTTACATTTTCTGCAGAACACTAGCCAAATGCTACCATCTGCCCAAGGTGAGGATTACTGTTCACTGCATGAGCAATGTGGTGAAGTTTAGGCACAGTAAATGATGTGACATCCGTTCAGCTGGATGCACCAGTGCAAAGTGCTGGAGGTCCTGAGGGTCTGCCTGCTCAGCTGCGCACCCATCACGGCTCTGGCCCTTGGTTCTCTCTTCATGTCTCAAGTGGGGTGGTGGTTACCAGTCTTACAGGTCCCATCAGAGCCAGCCCACAACGCTGTTCCAACTTTACTCCTGCATACCTACCCAACTACTCACCCACTCCCACCTCCTCTCTCACTTGCCAGTCTCATTACCTGCCCACTCACATTTTCTCTTACTCACTCCATAACCCATCCATTTACATGCTCTTCATTCATCTCCCTGTTCAGCTACACAACCTGTTCCTCAAACACCTCCAATCCACTCTCTAGTAGCAACTTTACCTCCCATGATATGCCCATCTTCTCCTCTCCCACCAACATCACAGAACCACAGAATAGTTAGGAATGGAAAGGACCTTAAGATCATCCAGTTCCAACCCCCCCGCCATGGGCAGGGACACCTCACACTAAACCATGGCACCCAAGGCTCTGCCCAACCTGGCCCTGAACACTGCCAGGGATGGAGCATTCACAACCTCCCTGGGCAACCCATTCCAGCGCCTCACCACCCTCACAGGAAAGAATTTCCTCCTTATATCCAATCTAAACTTCCCCTGTTTCAGTTTTAACCCGTTACCCCTTGTCCTGTCACTACAGTCCCTAATGAAGAGTCCCTCCCCACCATCCCTCTAGGCCCCCTTCAGATACTGGAAGGCTTCTGTGAGGTCTCCACGCATCCCTACATCCCTACGCTGCATCCCACCAAAATGAGCTAAACTGTAAGAAACAATAAACAGTAGTTATGAAGTGAAGATACTCTGGTAAAATACAAGATAAAGGCAGGCTGGGGGGGGGGTGAAGGCTCAAATAACCACATTATAACTTCCACTATCTCTGTTAGTAATGGAAAACTGTGATACTTTCATTTCCCCCTGCAATGCCCTCTGCAGACTTGCCTGCACACATTGCTTCCCTGCAGTTTAAATGCCACAATAGAGTTAAAAATCACTGAAGTTATACTGGTGTAACCCTCCTATATAAAAACATTTTTCCTTCTGAGTAAAAATGGCCTTTCCAGGTAATTCAATAATTTCTCAAGTGACACCAAAACTTATATGGGAATAGAACACGCATCTGAAATTACACTATTAGCAGTTCCATTTAAAACTTAGCTTCAATCAGTGTAATTTCCCCCAATCCTGCAGAACTGAGCATGCAGCATTTAAGGTAAGTGATACATCTTAATATTCTAGAGCACACAGTGCTATTTCACTCCTATTTACAGGCGGTTAACACTGCAGAGAGAATGACTCAAAGATGAGCACATAGACTTGAAATAATCTGGTAAAACAAAGAAATGGAAAATTTTAGGCCAAATATCAGGCAAAGAAAATTCCTGCCATGAAACTTGGTGGAAAAGACTCGAGAAGCTCAAAGTGGGAGGCCAAGTTCTTAGAGTATCTCTAGCTATGAAGTGCAGGGAAATAAAACCTGTAGCAGAAAACATGTACTGGCAAGACGACGGTCTGGATGAGCTAATGCACTTTCCATCTCTAACATCTATGATTCTGTAATTCCATAGGAGCGCTGGAGCAGAGGGCTGGCAAACTTCTGCAGCAGCTCGATAGTCTGATCACAGTGTGATAATCAAAAGGAGGTGCTCGTAGCTGGATGGTGTAGCTGTGCTGCTCCCCTTCAGAGTCATGCATTAGGATAACCTGCTCTGAATGGCATGCGTGTGGAATTACAGAGCTGTGGGTGACCCTCCTAAACAGGCAAAACAGAATGCAAGGCATTAAAGAGACAATCATCACCCTTCTTGCAAAATGCCCAGGGTCAGCTTTTGACAGTGGATTTGATAACACCGAGTTCAACTGCGTCAGCGTTTACACATGCAAATAACTTTACTCATAGAGGCACGTAAGTGTTAGTGAGGTTGCATCTATATTATACAGCTTTTTGAAGTATTTACTCTTGATTTGTGTGCTGTGAAAATCCTCCCTTAGGGTAAAACACCCGCTTGCTTCTCAGCTCATGTGCTTTTGTTTGCCATTTTAAAGTTATGAGGTAAGCAAAGATGCAAAGAGAGAAAGTGCAAAAGGACATATGGCACGAGCACACCTTTGATGTTGAAAGCACAGGTATGAGAGAAACGGATTACAGCAATAAGGAGTTGAAGAAGCAGGAAGATGAAGAGAAAAACGGCAAAGAAGTGAAAAAAACTCCAAAGCAGAACAGGAAAAAAGAGGAGTACAGAAAGAGAATCCTTTACAACATGATGCTGGAATTCCACTGATGAGCCATCGCTGCCTTGAAACCGTCTTTGGGGAGTTGGGTTTGGGGGCGTTTTGCCAGGTTTTTCATTCATGGTGCATGGAAATTCTACCCCGGCTTTGATTAGGATGGGGTAGGATTTGTGAGTTTATGGACAAAGGCAAATTTTGTGAACACATCAATACAAGAACAACTCGTGATGCTGCTCAAACAAATACCAATTCAATCGATGGCATGAGCCTGTCAGGCTCTGGAAATGCTCATAGTCACAGCCTGGTTTCTGTTGGAAGGGACCTCAAAGCTCCTCCAGCTCCAACCCCTGCCACAGGCAGGGACACCTTCCACTAGAGCAGCTTGCTCCAAGCCCCTGTGTCCAACCTGCCCTTGAACACTGCCAGGGATGGGGCAGCCACAGCTTCTCTGGGCACCCTGTGCCAGCGCCTCAGCACCCTCACAGGGAAGAGCTTCTGCCTAAGAGCTCATCTCAGTCTCCCCTCGGGCAGGTTAAAGCCATTCCCCCCTTGTCCTGTTACTAACTGCTGTTCTAAATAGTAAAGGATAACCTCCTCTTTGCCTCTGTACAATGCTATTAACCCTACTCTCAAGTACTTAGGCTCTGAACAGAAAACGGACATACAAAAGCAGTACACTGATTACCTGCTGTACTCAGAAGTTAAATCAGACACCTAAAATCCAGATGCCAAAGGAAACTAGGGAAGATGACAACTCAATGCTTGTTTTGGAGAGCAGGGTTAAATCAGCTCTTGTTGAGCTCCACAGTGCTTCAGAAACAGGGGAGGTGCTGTTTCCTGAACAGGTTGAACTGAACTTCACGCAGGTGGCACTGAAAGTGACATTCCCACCTCCTCCTCTGCTTCTGGCCATGAGTTCCTGCTCTGCCCCCATCAGAACTACAGCTATGTGCTAAGTTGGATCAGCTCTAACTTTCCCAAAAGAGAATACTGGGAGAAGAAAAATGGGGGTTTCAACCAGATCAGCACCTTGAGATGGCTCACCCCAAGGCCACATGGTCACCAGTGATGATCATGGAAGAAGCTACCCTCGAAACCACACATGAAACAACTGCAGGACATCTAACCATCATGGTAATGCAAAAACATGTCCACAGAAGACAGTACTGCCACCTTTAAATAGGAACCCAATGCTAAGAGCTCACCTGGGAAGCTGGGCACTCTTCACCCTGTAGATCCCACCTCCTACAAAACCCTGGCAGCAGCAGAGCTTGGGCTGAGGTTGGTTTCTGCCCTTCCCACTGGAGCTGGGCCAGCTTAGACTGGACTTCAGGATTCACCGAGCCACAGAACACAAGCACTGGAGGGTAGGTATGACTCCATAGGAAGGAGACTCCCAGGAGAAAGGGCAGAGCCTTGTATTCTGGTCCCTTCTCCAGGAATTCCTCGTGCCTCCTGCAGTGAAGGTTACATAAAACATATACACAGCTCCTTTTATACTTGAGCTTCAGAAATACATCCTATGAGCTATGGCAATACACTCGGGAGCCAGTGAGAGCTCTGCCCTAACAGGAGAACAGCGTATGCCTACCTGTATTCTTGGAAATCCTTTTATTTTTGGTGGATGAAAGTAAATCAAAGAGCAATGCTGAGCTCTTCACAGTTATGACTCACTTCTGCCAACCTTGTGTTTTGGCAATAAACCTGCATATAGACACTGGAGCCTGTAGTAACAGGTCACAGAGGGAATTTCAGTAGCCAGTTAGGTCCTTAAAGGTACATTAGGTACCTTACAGGTACAATTCAGGTGCCCAAGCTTTGGTGAGGGGTTTGGAACACCTTCTAGCTTCCATTTACTGCACTAGGGAAGCCCTGAAGTCACAGCATGGCCTGGCAGCACTGCCTTGGTTTGGCAACATATGGGAAAGAAGCGAGGGAATTAGATGCCAGAGATCATCACCCACGACTCTGCCTTGAAAATGCAGGGATTAAAGTGGCTCCTATTCATACCCATGTTGCTGGAAAACATGCATTTTTATTTGGCTTAATGGTTATATACTTTTAGACACAGGCATTACCATTCCAGCAACAGAAGAGGAAGCATCCCTCGTTCCCAGGTCCAATTCTGGGCTCACTGTTTTGTATGTAAACTTCAGGTGCAAATCCCATGGCTGGATAGCTACAGGCCATGAAGAACTTCACTCCAAGAACATACAAAACAAACAAGGAGGAAAAGCCAACAAATTCTCTGCACCTCACCTGCGAACTTCTGCATGGGAATCCCTCAGGAATCTGTACAAATGAATGCTACCGAGACACTGCACGGACCTGAAATGTCAAGCATTGGGTTGGTTTCACAGAGTCCCAGACTGGCTTGGGTTGGAAGGGACCTTAAAGCTCATCCAGCCCCAACCCCTGCCACAGGCAGGGACACCTTCCACTAGAGCAGCTTGCTCCAAGCACCATCCAACCTGGCCTTGAACACTGCCACGGATGGGGCAGACACAGTCCCTACAGGCCCTTGTCCCAAGCCCCTCTCCAGCTTTCCTGCAGCCCCTTCAGGCACTGGAGCTGCTCTCAGGTCTCCCCTTCAGGAGCCTTCTCTTCTCCAGGCTGACCCAGCCCAGCTCTCTCAGCCTGGCTCCAGAGCAGAGCTGCTCCAGCCCTCGCAGCATCTCCATGGCCTCCTCTGCACTCGCTCCAACAGCTCCACGTCCTTATGCTGGGGACCCCAAAATCTTACTTATCTATGATTAAGGTGGTTTGGATTTTTGCTTGTTTTTTTAGAAGCTCAAGACTTCCACTAACATAACAAGCAATATTCTGATCAGAGCAAACCTCTGTTATCCCTGCCTCCATGCGCTGCCTTTTTTTCCCAGTCAAGTTAACCAAAAAAGGCATGGAAAAGTGTAATCTCCACACCATGTATTTCAGATTCTCTCAATCAGATTAAGTGACATTTTAAAGACTGCAACGCAATAGAGAGACTGCAAACACTCATGTACATAAAATCAGGATTCAAAACGTGATTTTCCCCCTTGTTACGGGTGCCAACCATCCCTCTGCACTGCATCAGTGGTACCAGCCTGGTCCCCAAAAGAGACGCAGCAATTCCCTGTCCCGTAGGTGGCTGCACGACAGGGAACTGAAAATCTCAGACTCCTTCTCCTCAAACAGGGCCTGCTTGCACCTCCTTAGCAAACCAACCTGCTCCACGGTAAGCCTGAGGATTGATCGCTTCGATGCAGGTTTAACAGTTAACAATTCAGAGGCTATAAAAACGTGCAACTTCCTTTCTTTTAATCTAAAATGATAACGGAACAATGACTTTTTTCATGGCTTCTTGTTGCTTAAAAGCATACAAAGTGTCTCCCGAGACCATTTTGAGGAGCTTCTGGTTAAACCCATGATTTTCAGAAGGTACGCGGCTCATTCACCGGAATACTCAGCTAAAACAGATCTCTAACTCCGAATATCTAATTCCTTCTCCTTTATTTGTTTAATTCAAGTACAGTATTTTCCTCCACCCTTTCCTTTTCATAGGCTTTTCACACCCACATAACAACCAAGTGACTCTTCCCTGACCCGCCCTCCCACACCGTTTGGTACAACCACAAAGTCACCCTGCGCCTGAGCTCTTCTCCCAGCATCCAGACGAAGCCCTTATGGAAAGGAAACCCAGTGCAATGCAAAACCTTCCCTTTTCCCCTTCCTTTGCTGTTACCCCTCTGGGTTTATTCCCAGTTCCACAGGGATTTGCGGTGTACGGATTGCTGCTGATTTGGAAGAGAGGGAAAAACAACCTTGAGTGCCTCACTATAGCTGCTGATTCAATGGGTTTGGGAATGTGAGGAGTCTGGGTGTCACCCAGCCAGGGCAGAAGAGCAGCAGTGAATTCCTTAGGACACAGCACCAGCAATTCCTGCAGCTGGTGTCTGGAAGGAACCCGCCAAAGGGAATGACAAATCATCACTATTCCACTTTCCCCATCTTTTAATAGCTTGTGCATTCAAAGACATGTTCTGGAAATCCAGGAGCTACAGCATCACGTATCAGCATCTTAATACAGAAAACACAGTAATGCTGGTAAGTTAAATCATGGAATGGTTTGGGTTGGAAGGGACCTCAAACCTCCTCCAGCTCCAACCCCTTCCACTAGAGCAGCTTGCTCCAAGCCCCTGTGTCCAACCTGCCCTTGAACACTGCCAGGGATGGGGCAGCCACAGCTTCTCTGGGCACCCTGGGCCAGCGCCTCAGCACCCTCACAGGGAAGTGCTTCTGCCTAAGAGCTCATCTCAGTCTCCCCTCTGGCAGGTTAAAGCCATTCCCCTTGGCCTGGCCCTACAGGTCCCTGTCCAAAGCCCCTCTCCAGCTCTCCTGTAGCCCTTTCAGGCACTGGAAGGTTGCTATCACCATCCTCATTTTACCAACAACTCAGAAGAAATGACTTGCTCAAGAAGCTCCCCCCACTCCCAAAACTCCCTCCCCAAACACGTATCACAGTCGAGAGCAGATTCAGGGAGCACAACTCCCAGACCTATCTCCGTCAGCCAATGTGATTCCTGCCAGCCCATGTTAATGAGCTGGGGTTTTTGAGAAACCACTAAATGATAGCTTTTTCCTTGGGATTTACAGAGCCACTTACAAATACCAGTGTTCCTATTTTAGGCATAGTTTAGGAAAAGCACCATTCCATTTAATTCCAGGAATGGATGTACGATTTTTTTTCATGTGAAATTCGACAAAACTGAAGCCTTCTTCATTCAATGAAGTTTAACAGGAAAATAACAGCTCAGCAGTGACTGGGGGATGATCTATCCCCAAGCTGGAGGGCTGCCCCAACCCCTTTCCTTAACACCAACATTCCAGGTTAAAAATGGGTGGGAACAGCAATTTCAAGCTGTTTTCCTTGACCTGCTGCAGTAAGTTTCCCCCCTTAATTACAGCCTCCTAAACTGTGGCAGGCCAGCTCCAGTGACAAAACAAACCCAGCTTGCTACGTTCACAAAGCTTTCCTTCAGTTCCATTTAGTGAGATACCATCTTAGCACTGAAAAGGAGAAGTACATCAACTTACCAATGCATTACCAGCAGAAGCATCTCACATACAAGGTTAAGCGTTACTCAGCCATCAGCTCGCTCCTGGCTCTACATAAATCCCACAGGCAGCAGGTATCAGAACTCTCTCCTGTTGCTCCTCATCCCTGTATGCTCACAGAAGTCTTCTGAAGCTGCCACCAACAAAAGAAACCACAGGAAGACTGCTTCCCTAATGCTTCCGAACTGAGTCAGTAGGTCAACAATTCCTTCGGTTTAGGAGCCAGACCAATTCCCTTAAGCACCCCTTTCGGATGGAGAAGCCAACTGTCTCCTGCTAGTGGCAGCCCATCTGCTTCCAGAACAGAACCAAACAGCTCCAAAGCACCACCTCGCTTGGTGCAGGCACCCGTCCTGATGCAGCTCCATTTTGGCTGGGGGGAAACCAGGAGAGGAATACTTACAAGGGGGGAAGACAGGCAGCAAAAACTGCTCCGGGTGCACCTTGCACGCTGCTGCCGGCTCCCAGCCCACGTTCCCGCTTCCCATCCCCGAGATGGAGTGGCATGGAGAAGAGCTCTTCATGAGGTAGCAGATCCATCCCCAGCCTGCCTTGTTCCATTGCAGGCACTGAGTATCCTGTGTGTGCATCTCAGGCGCACTGCTCGAACAAAGAGAAGGCTCTGAAGCTGCTATCCCTCTTCCCGATCCATGTCTCGAAACGGCTGGTTGGAAATTGGTTTCGTAATAACCCTTTAGTACCACCTACTCACATCACAGAGTGATTCTTGCAGCAAATGCACAGGAAATCACCAGCGAGTGCCAATGGAGCTACTATTCCAAGAACTAGCTCTTTCGGTTATTCCTCCATCCTTTGGAACCCGAGCTGCTTTTACTTTCCCTATCGCACAAGGGGAGATTTGTTTTAAGAAGAGCTTTTAACTCTGATCCTGTAAAATACTTTTGTTGATAAATCACCAGCTGAAAACTTGCCCACTGTAAGGAGAAAAAAAAAAAAAAAAAAAAAAAGGGGAAAAAGAATTTCACAATACTCATTCCAGAAAATACAGTAATTCCTGTCTGGAAATAACTCACTGGACAAAACCCAAAAGGGCAGAATTGATCTGCAGAGGCAGTTTGCATCCTGCAGAGCACACAAAGAGGGGGCAGTGGGAGCCACGTGCCTTTCTGACCACCGCCAGCAGACCCCTGACTCACCCAACCACAGGATGAGTCGCTAGGAATGATTTCCTCTTCTTCCAGGCTCTCCCCCCCGGCCTCGGCGTGCTCGGTGCCACCAGCATATCCTGAGCGCTTAATCCCGACTTTGATGGGAATTCCAAACCTCATCCCGTAAGGCTGTGGGCACCAGCTAACGATGCAGCCATCTGCTAGCTCCTGCTTTGAGTCACCTGTCAGCGATACAAAAGGAAATTACTCAGCAGCGAGCACGTGGAAGCCCCATTGCTCCACTCTCTCCCTTTAGAGGAACACAATTCCAGAGCGCTCCAATCACCCTGAAGGAAAAGTGCTCTATTCTGTAAGCGGTCCCGTTCAAAAGGAGTGGAACTTGGTTGAAAAGATAACGTAAGAAATGAGAGCAGAGCAGACAAGAGAGCGTTTTGGGTGGGTTTTTTGATGCCAGCATCACCGAGGCTGCCATGGGAAGGGGGGGAGGAGGGGGGTGTGTGGGATGGACGGACGGGGACAGACACAAAATAAAAGAAGACATTTCACAAACACGAGCCCTTCACTGTGCGTGACAAGAAAAATAATGAAAACAACTGAGAGAAGTGATGTGTGGCTGCTTCGGAAGTTAACTCTTCCAAGGAAGTGATTAAGGGAACAAAAGCAACGCGTTCTGTTTGTCAAACAAGTAAACTTTGCACACCGGAGCGTGTAAAGCTGGAGTACGGGCACAGCCCTCCCCGCAGGCAGAGAGGGTCACGCAGGGCTCAGATCTTATTGATTATTGAGCAGTGATTAAGTCGAAGATGCAAGGCTTTTGAACTAATGCACAGCACTGCTTTGCCACAATGCCACATCCTATCAGGCAGAAAGGCAGCCACGACGCCCTGTGCCTCTTCATGGCATCCCCTTCATCTACTTCCTATCCAGGACAAAATCCACGAGGATTTTCCCAAGAAGACCCTCTGAACAGCTCCAGCATTTACAGACCCAGTCCAGCAACAGTCAGTTTTTTGTTTCATCACCAGTGACGCAGCTCACGGATCCAGCTCTCTGGAAACAAGGCTCCCAACTTCTCCCCCAAAACCAGCAGGCAGTTACTACACCCAACACTTGGAATCTTCAGGAATTAATTAATACTAAAGATCTAATTGTCTAACCTGCTTCTGCATGCAGAAAGGAGCCAGACCTGGTGCCTGTACGATGGGGGAGGGAGGCACTTCTTGTTCCTGTTTCGTACTTGACTTTTCTTCCTGCGCAGGAGATGATCTAATTATTCAACGTGTCAGTGTATTGCTTCAGCCTCTCCCGTGTGTCTCCTCACATTAACATATCTTTCACAATTCAGCTCGTTCGGAAGGAGGCGAGGAACAAAACCAGCAAATTATGCCCCAAACCAAATCCATCACAAAGGCAGGAGCCTTGCCATGGTTTGTCCTGTACCCATCCCAAACTCCTCCGGAGCACGCAGCCAACGATGCTGCGTGTACATCAGCAACAAAGCTCCCTAAGCCCAACCCTCGCCTTGCTCACATGCAAGTGTACCTGTTCTGAGACACAAGCCTGATCCGTGAGCTCTGTGAAGGAGGAATTTGGGGTCCTGCCTGATTAACAAGGCAAAGAAACTCCCAAATGACAGCCCTTTATTGTTCCCAAATGTGCTGATGCTCAGCTGCAGGCACTGTTGGGGAGAGGGGGCTGATGGAGCGCCTGTGTAATGATTGGGTATGGGTGATGAAAGCCACTGATCCAACCACATAATGCTGCTCCTGATCGACTTGAAATGCAGCTGAAAAACCCTAAAATCCAAATATAACATGTACAGCACCTGCATTTGCATATGTAGGATGCCAGCCGAAGTTTCTGAGCCTGTTTTTACAGCAAACAGCCTTTCAACACCCAGCCCTTGCAGCAGCTATGCATTTGAGAGATGTTCTTGTGTTTTAAACCTTGCCCTGAGTTACTACAACAGGTTTGCTCACGAATTAGCTCAAGCACAGTCCCTGTGGCCTGCATTAAATCCACTAGTTCTGGAGAAGCATTTCTTCAGCAAGCTTTGTGTGTAATAGCAGTGCCTATATATAAACCTGTTTACGACTATTGCTAAAGAAGAGCCCGCTCTGAAGCAGCTCCTTTCTTCCCATCGAACATGCTGGATGCGTTCCCAGTTAAGGCTTATATAAGGCCATCAAGGAAGTAGAAACTTATTTTGCACGAAATCAAGCCTGTATAGTAGTAGGTGCAACGGAATTATCCTGTTACACATTAAGTTTTACTAATAAAAGACCTGCACTGCAGTCATAAAGCCAAACACTGCATCCCAGTAGTACAAAGAGTTAAGCATTTACTGCTATAAAATCAAAACCTACTTGGCCAAAGGAGAGATAACAGGTAAAAAGCATCTGCTTTTTCTAGTATAAACCCTACCATGTTCCTTATAATAAAAGGCACACAGTAGCTGGAATGGTTGATCTTCATTGCTTACCCCAGTCTGATTTAACTTAGGTTAAAACAATAATGAAGTAAGCACATTCAAAATATAACCAATTTGAAATGCATGATGTGAAGTTTCCCAGTGCTGTTCTATCTACAAGGATGTGGTTGGTGTTTCTGTTCTCCTGAACACATCACTCCACTGGGCAGGTCCATCCACTCTAATAAATGACCTGCTTTCTGACCTGTGGCCCGCACTACATCCGTGTTAGACTGTTCCCATGGCTGCTGTTTGGAGGGAGCACACCCAGGTGTGCTGGCAGGGATGGTTTGCTCCACAAACACTCAAGAGGACACAGCACTGGCAAGCTCATACCCACGCTGGGCTCCCACAGCCTTACAGAGAAAAACACCACTGCTCCAGACAGGTCTATGCTTCCCAGGACCACCACAACCGAACTCAAGCCCATCTTTTAAGACCAAAAGCTGGGAATGTGACCAGGTCTTGAAACTCAAGCTCTTGTACTCAGAATAAACCCACCAAATTGGCAGATTGTAGCATCAACTGCTTTACAATGAAAAGACAAAAAGAAACAAAATTATCCCCAACAACCAGCAACAAAAATATCCCCACTAAACCAAGTGAAAGATTGTGATCAGGGGCTAATCACAGACTCACAGACTGGTTTGGGTTGGGAGGGACCTTAAAGCTCCCCCAGCTCCAACCCCTGCCATGGGCAGGGACACCTTCCACTAGAGCAGCTTCCTCCAAGCCCCTGTGTCCAAACTGGCTTTGAGCACTGCAGGGGATGGGGCAGCCACAGCTTCTCTGGGCACCCTGGGACAGCACCTCAGCACCCTCACAAGGAAGAGCTTCTGCCTAAGAGCTCATCTCAGTCTCCCCTCTGGCAGGTTAAAGCCATTCCCCTTGGCCTGTCCCTGCAGGCCCTTGTCCAAAGCCCCTCTCCAGCTTTCCTGGAGCCCCTTTAGGCACTGGAAGTGGTGATCTTCATGCTGCACAGAGTCCAGGTCTAAGCCCCACATACCATCGGTGCAGGGAACTGCTTGTGCTAAGCACACCCATTTCTCAGAGGGGCTGGGAGCAGAGCACATCTCCCTGAGCTGGTGCAGTCAGCACAAACACAGAGCAAGACAAAACCACACCACTTCTGTGTCATACATGTGTCTACATCCAAATAAATACATCGGTCTCTATCTCATCAGTACAGGCGCTCCACTGACAGCACCAGGGATATTTCCCCTTGGCCATGTCCCATTTTGCATTACCATGCAGGGGTGGTTCAAGGACTACATCAGACACTAATTAAACATCTTGTTTAAGATTAAATCATTACAGAGATAACATTGTAGGTACCTCACTCTAACCTTTCAGAGGTCCACAACAGAGCACTGAGGTCCAGCACACAGCACCACACTAATGCTTTCTTAGGAAAAACATGGTCAGAGATGCTACTCACCTTTCTGCACCTTCCTATTGGTAAATCGCTCACCTTGGAAGAGGGAGACACATTCTGCTCCCTGCTCCTACCCCCTCAGCCTTGCAGTGTGCTGTAGTTTTGATGCCACACGTTTAGGAGCTGAGCGGTGACCTCTCAAGCCTCCTTCTGCATCACGCCGCCACTCACAAAGCACATGCAGTGCGTGAACATGCAAGAACAGCTTGACCCTGACCCTGCAGAGAGGAGGACTTCTCTGGGCATTTGGCAGTGGAGGTTTCGATTGCTTTTCTTAATCCCCTCTCTGCATTGTATCCAGGCTGTGTAAGCACACCTCAAGTTAGGACAGCTACACTTCCAGCAGTTCATACTGGCATGCTTCTCGCTGGCGATTCTGAAGTGTTTAACTCTTCTTATTCCTTCTTCTGTATGAAGTTTGCAATTCCTGAATTCCAGGGTTTTTTTAGATTTCATCTCATAGGCTTGCACATAAACCACATGCACAAAGGAAGAGGGGAGCTGCAGGAACGGCTGAATTCTGCCCCTGGCACCAAAAGGATGACTCCAGAGGCATGTGAAGCAGCAGAGAATCACTCTCCTGACTTACTCTGGTAGCTACAACAGATGGAGCACATCATCCAAGCCAAACAGCGAGCTTCTTGGTAGTAAGAGGAAAGGACACGATGACCTCTAGGTAAAAATCCTAGGAACAGCAAGCACACATAAACATCAACCTGAGCAACTCGAGTTCTGCGCCAGAGCTCGAACTGTGAAGAGAAACACCCGACACAGACCTAATTCAGGCTGTAACTCAGGGCGCGCGCACGCCCAGCCACGGTACGAACTAACACTCCTCGTCGTAAGGCCTATTCTTATCGTGGTGATGAATGTAGCTTTGGAGAAAGGCTTTTGTTAAGCCTTTTGCAACTTGGTGCAGCCCTTCTTGGCAGAGAGGAAGCTGGAAGGACGTCAGGTTACTCGCCAGGGTGGAACATGTCCTGCTCCTCATGTACAAACACAGGGCATCTCATGACAGGGCTCTGCTGGTGAAGCGCTGCGTGGCTACAGGCAAGCACAATATTGTTGCCTCCTTCTCCCTACGGCAAGGGTGTTTTAAGCTTTCACGTATTGTGTTGGTAAAGCTGATTTGGTTCCTCAAAGGGGAGCCAACACCAGCATGAGATCTGTCTTCTCGGTGTGAAGGTACAGACCTCTTAAGTTTAGTATATGAGTGATAGAACAGACTGAAGAATTCCCCGTTCCTCCTTCTGATTAACACATCCTTGAGGAGCTCATCACTCAGAAAACCTGGCAGGGTAGCAGGAGCCATAAATACTCATTTTCAGCCCCAAACAAGGGAGCATTTCACAAATAACTCATATTGGGAGGAGGGATGAATTGGGGGGGGGGGATTTCCTTTCTTCTGAGTGCTCTTAGTTTATGCCACTAGATGGCACGTTTGAAACTCTTGGCATCTCGGTGAAATCACAGCTAAGTCTTTGCTCTGCATCACGCAGTGTTTATCCTGCTCGCCTCACCTGGGATGGAAAAGTACAGGTAACATGCTATCTCAAGAGCCAACGAGCTGAGATAGGCGGATGATAGCATGTAGAAATGTGCCTGCGTGGGTGACCTAAGCTCCAGCCCTCCTAACTCCAGTCCTGGTGTGACCTTAAAGCCTTGGGAGAGCCTGTGAATGCATGTGAGTTGAGACAAGAGGAAAATAGGAAAGGAGGGGGAGAGCTGAGCCTCTGGATGCACACCACTGCCGTCCACCATGAACTGAGCAATGTGCTCAGATCCCTGAGAGCCCAACAGACTGAAAACCCATTCCCAACAACTCCAGCACATCACTGACATGACCTGGTGTAAGGGAGAGGATTCAGGGCACAACCAAACAACAAGGGAAGATTTAGCCAACCTCCAACACTGTGTATTGTCATCACAAGACCCAACGTCTCCAAAAGGGTCATGCACTTTGTGTCCCATGGCAGATAAGCAAACACAGAGCAGCCCATGACCCACTGAGTCAGCTTCATGGGCAAGTCACCTCTTGTGCTGGACACGTCTCGGAGTGTACCCAGCTGTGCCTTGCTGTACTGGCCTTGGCAGGGATGCCAGCGCTTGGCAGCACTGCTTCCTTTAGGCTTCCTGCTTGTTCTTGCTGCCAGTTCCTTAATTTAACTCAACCTCCTTTAGGAGTGCATTAGCACAAGCAGATATCTGCCCCAGCTGACAATCCCTCAAAGAGGAACAAGTCGGTTCAGCACCAACGTAAGGAGCGCGGGCGCTTGGAGACAGTACTTGTCATGGCATCGCACCCCATATTCCCTCTGTGGGCAGTTTCAATAGATGAGGATTAACAGTTTACTACATGAGTGCTTCAACACCTGACTCAGTCCTTGGAACGGGCACTCATGGCAATGCTGGAGAAGGGAAGACATTTTGATGATAGACACCCCCCCCCGCCCAAGGGCAATGGCAAAGAGCGCTTCTTGTGTGGATGAAGGAGAAAATCCATCTTTCCCTTTCAAGGAAGAACAGCTCAGCCCCAGCACTGTGGCAAATAAACCCTTTGTTTTCCTTCCCTTAGGTAGGATTTAGCTCTGTAAAGACGCCCCAAACTAACCAGCAAAGACAGAAAGTGCCCTCAGCATCATCAGCTTCACTGAAGGACCAACATGTGCTCCGGAGGCAGCATGGGAAAGCTCAGTCCCACCATCCATCCTCTTTGGGAATTCTGCTCTTTCCTGATCCATCGCTCCGGCACTGTCTGTGCACTCACATACTTAACGCTTGCATCCAATCACCCTGCTGGACAAATACTCCTCCAAATGCACCACAGTGTATTTCTGTGTTGATGTCTGCAGATGCTGCCAACAAGGAGTCTACAGACATCAACACAAGGCAGCAGTACCCTGCAGAAATATCCCAGCCAAGACCTCTATTTTCAGTGGACAAACAACTCCAGAGAAACTCATTTCAAACATAAGGAGGCAATAACCTCACCTGAATCTTTCCATCCCCCTTGGGCCTGCACTTGGGATGCAGCTCCCTGCTCCTATGAGATGGCAGCAGTCTAGGGGGATTGCAGCAATTACTCCAGTTGGAGCTCAGGTTTCGGAGCTGTAGGATGTCCCAGAATGCAGGTTTCCACTGGATGATGCTAAACCTCTTCCAAACACACACCTACCATGATTTCTGACTGTTCTGAAATGAAAACCACATGTAAAGTTGGTAAACTCTTCCAGGAGTGCAGCACAGGCTGGGATCTGCCCTAGGAGCAGCTCTGGGAATGGGACTTGTGGGTCCTGGTGGACACAAATTCCACAGGAGTGAACAGTGTGCTGCTGTGGCAAAGAAATCCAGCAGGATGTTGGGGACCATCAACAAGGGCGTCACCAGTAGGGATGAAGATGTCATTGTCCCACTCAGTGCTTGTCAGGCCACACCTGTAATACTGGGTTCAGTTTTGGTCTCTGCTATACAAAAAGCTGTGGACAGGCTGGAGAGGGTCCAGAGAAGAGTCACAAAGATGATCCAAGGACTGGGAAGCCGTGTGAGGAAAAGCTGAGAGAGCTGGGACTGCTGAGCCTGGAGAAAAGAAGGCTCAGGGGAGACCTTATCCCCATGTTCCAGTATTTAAAGGGTGGCTACAGAGAAGATGGAGAGTCCCTTTTGACAAGGAGTCATGTGGAAAAGATGAGGGGTGATGGGCACAAGTTACTGCTGGGGACATTCCAACTGGACACAAGAGGAAAGTTTTCACACTGAGAACACTGGAATAACCTGCCCAGGGAAGTGATGGATTCCCCAGTGTTGGACACTTAAAATTCACCTGGACAGGGTGCTGGGACATCCAGTCTAGGTCATGCTTTGCCTATAAAGGTTGGACAAGATGATCCTTGAGGTCCCTTCCAGGATTCCATGATTGTCAGTGTGATTACAAAATTGGTGAGGGGGAAAAAAAAAACATCAGATTTCTATACATTAACATCCTTGGAATTCTGTCCCAGATTCTTTTCCTAAGCTAACAAAACCCCCAATACGCTGTGTTCCAGCAGGAAGCAAGGAGGAGACTTAACAAGTGGGATTAATCTTGCTTCTATTTAAGTACCTGCAGCATAGATGCTG